CATTTTTCAGAGTACACATTACCCATCACATTTAGGGCAAGAACACAATTCATGTGACATTTAGAGAATTGTACCACAGCTAGTTTTTCCACAGCCAATGACCTCTGCGAATGTGAGAGCAGAAAGACATGCTCTAAAGACAATGTTATAAACTTAAAAGGTATGTTACATGATTAATTAATACAGACAATTGTCTTTCCTTTTTCTGATCAGACAATACTACATGACATTTTTGGGATTGGACATAGCTTTTAGTAAGTTTCTAAACGTAAGTTTTATCTTCTGTTGGCACATCATCCGGCGGGCCAGTCTGCTACGCCAGCGCCCTTCCGACAACAACAACAAAAAAGAAGCATTTATAAACTTATTTAAAGCTAGTTTCAATCGTAAAAAATACAAAATTCGGAATCATCGCATGAAGATTAACAAACTACGTCGCAAATGGCTCTTTTTCTTGTTGGGTTTAGAAGATCCAATTAAAAAATGAAAACAAGTATTTTTCCCCCAAGATTTGAATAATGTAACATTTTCTTATCTCAAAGAGGGCGACAACTGTCAGTTTTATATGATAGTGTAATACTAACAGCCCTTTACGTAAAAGCCTGTTTGTTCTCAGGATGGAGTAAGAACATTGATTCCGCTCATGATACGTGACTGTGGCTTGTTCAAAACAAGTGGTTGTTGTTTTTAAAGGAGATTCCAAAAGTACTTCCGGAATACAAAACACGAGAAAAGCTGCTTAATTAATTCCCTCTTGTAATTGTACAAAGTCACGCTTACTGGGAAATAGTATTGTTCATCCCCGGAGCGGACTTAACTCCAGACATAAAAGATCGATTTCTAATAATAATCTTAATCAAATGAGCGTGTACTTTATAAGTCTTGACTATGACTCACCTAAACATATCATCTTCTTTTCAAGAACTTTTTGTACTTATAATTCTATTCGCCACCGCTCATATGGCACTCAAGTAAGGGATATGCACCGTATAGGAGAGACGTTTGTCTGTCTATATGTATGAATGCATGCTTGTATGTATGTATGTATGTATGTATGTATGTATGTATGTATGTATGTATGTATGTGTGTATGTATGTATGTATGTATGTATGTATGTATGAATGTATGTATGTATGTATGTATGTATGTATGTATGTATGTCACTTTTTGTTGGATGTACAGTGGACCAGAGTTACTGCTGCCGATAATTTTTATTTAGTTTCAAGTAAATCAACATTAATATTTAATCAATGTTCAAAAAGCACTGGCCCGATTTGAAGGCACTCTGAGAGACAGTGGTTCTTTGGTGTTTGGTCGCACTGCAGAGACTCGTTTCGTCATCTTTGTTTATCACGCGAGCTAGTATGTAAATTGTTCCTGTCACGATCTACGGGAGCACGCAAGTCCTTTCAGACCACCACTCGACCGGCGGTGACGTCAGCCTACCTGGCGAATTCAAATTTTCCCCAGAGGACTTTAGTTCAGTTTTATAGTAAGGTTTTACGGCGCCCGCAACTGCATAAGGTCATTATGAGCGCCAAGGGAGTGGATGTCAACAAAAAGTCCAAACGGGGAATCAGGCTGACTCTGCTCACCTCTCTAGCCTCGAAAGCACAAAGTGTGCTTCGACTATCAAGGCACCCCAGAAACAGCAGTGCACATAAGAGTGACAAATATACAAAGGAAATAGAGAAAAATCACGATAGTAAGGATGAGGAAAGAAAAAGCAGCAGTTCCCGAAATGTTATTCTGGTACAGTATGAGCATATCATTGTTAAATCCACCCAGGTACAATTCTACTGTGCATAAGAACATGTTAATATCCCCCCTTTGGGAATGGCCTAAAGAGACTTCAGTTAGTAGCACTGCCCTGGTTGGAAGAGGGGGGGGGCAGATGACTTAAAAGACGGCTTCTAATTGTCAATTGTCTTCTCTGTTACTTACAAAGGAAGGACATGTCTGCAGTACAAATACGTATTATTTTACATATTTTCATGAGCTATATTTATCATTCAGTTTGTCTTTTATTACTGCTTGTAGATCTATTATAAACATTTATATATGATTATTTCCATTGGATTTTAACCCTACCTGTACGATCTGGGGTCATTTTGTACCCCCGGGGTTGTATTTGTCACATTTTAGAATACTTGTAGACCGAAGATATCTTTGAAACTTTCAGTATTTCTCAAAAAATCGTTATGCCAGACTGCTATGCAAAGCGTATGGATCGGATTATCGAGTAAATTTCCTCTTCGGAAGTGGTGGCACAGAGTTCCCCTTGTCGTATGGATACGATAGTAAAACACGACGTACGAATAGGGTTAAACCATCCATATGATCTTTTTGGTGTTTTCTTCGTCGCCTACTTCCCGGAGTTACCTTACTTGGCCAGGACCCTGGGCCGGCCATCCTGTGTTCCGTACAGTTGGAATATATAGATGGTATTTTAACGAGGAGAGGGAAGCGCCTCGTTCGGCTGTCATATCTTAAAACAATACACGCC